CCTAATCAACCAAATATTTCTACTCCCATCTGAATAAAAGCAGCAGATGGTGCTTGCTAAACACATGGATTAAGACAGCTCCCTCACACAGGGGCTACCCACCCTGCTCTTTTTCTTGGCTTGCTACATACTGGAAAAAAAAAAATGCTAATTACACAAGAAACTCAATTTGAGGTTATTCCATCGGAAAGTGCGCAACCTACAGCAGCCCTGATTTGTTCAGATCACTGATCACGTCTCTGGTTTGCCTTCACAGGTATGGCAGACAGTTTGCTGTTTTGTTGTTTGGGCATTTCTGAATAAACTGCAGCCCTGCCGACTACATGACTATATTAAGTTTTAAGTGTCTAGTCTGTGTCTAGTTTCTCTTTCTCCTTTACAAAGCGGGAAAAGAGCCAGTGAGGATACAGAAGATAAATTGTCTTGTCTCCGGAGCCAAGGCCATCCTTTTCCTCACTCGCTGTCCTCCCTCACCATTCCTTTGTCTCTCTCATCCTCCTGGTATGTAGACACAGCATGGCCTTGCTTGTATGGAAGCCATGGAAGGCCAAGTCATGCAGTCTTGAACATGAGGTCTCGGTGGATTCAACAAAGCACTATCCTCCCTGACTCCAGCCAAGGCCTCCCACAGCCAAGGATGACACACAACACCGCTCATGGAGCGGCGTGTGTGTTCAAATGTGTACGCAGGTGCTTGTGTGTGAGCGCCACGTGGACAAACACGTCTAATTGGGCCATAAATCACTGTTCCAACAGGAGCTTTGACTAAGTTGGAGACTAACTGTAATAGATATGCTGTTTTTGACTGCAGAGCTTTATTTGGAGGAGCTGGGTGGTGAGCTGATGCAACACGTGGCACAAGGGGACAGTTGGAGCTCCAGTGTTTTGACACATGCAGTTAGAGCAAGTGTTGAGCGCAGGGAAAAGAAACAAGATGCAAGAGGGAAGATAAAGGGAAGACGAGAAGAGAGGAAGAGAGATCTGCCACCTTGTCTCCCAATCAGCAAGGGGCATCCCGCTTTCCCACTCCCTCTTATGCAACGTTTCCAAGGCAACGGGCTCATGGGTAAAACAACAACCGCGTGGCTAATATTGGCTCCTCAGTCGCTTGCAGAATGAATCTGGAAGTCTGAATATGATCCCATATCTGCCCACATTCCAGTGAGTGACAGAGTACCCACACAGAAAGAGAGAGATTAATATAGAGAAAGACAAGAGACTATGAGAGGAGAATTTAAAGGTTTTCACACACACTGAACATTTCTTCTCCTTGTTAGCAGGGGGAGCTGGATTTAAGGCAGTGCACTTCACAACAACCCTTGGCTTTTCCTAGTTATAGCTGCCTTTAACGAGCCTGATGTCATAACCACACCATCTGCTTTAAAAGACAGGTCCGGATATTTTTACCTTTTGCTTATGTAATGTTGAGACAAAACACGGAGAAAAAACTATTGTGTTCTCACTTTTAACTCTGTGCCTTCACAAAATTGCAGCGCCTTGAAAAACTGCGAAAGAGACAATGCAGGGACATTGCATAACACAGGGCCACAGCTGTATGGTAAGTGGAAGGAATACGGTAGAGATAACTCAAAGTGACACTGGCAGAGTGCAAAAACAAGAAGTCACTAAACCAAAGTTTGGAAGGTGCCTGACCGGGTGGCGAGCTCTAACTGTTTAAACGTCTCCGTTTCATCGCACCTCTGTCCTTGCTTTCACTTGCTGGAAACACTATTTTTCTCTCGCTTCAGCTGTTTGGGAGCAAGTTTTTCAGAGAGAACTGCGGAGGAATAAGGTGCAAGAGAGATTGAGGGAGGCGGTGAGGGAGGCGAGAGGTAGAGCTGAGGGGTGTGATGGATGAGCGAGAGAGATGAGAAGAGACCAGAAGGACCTTGGGTGTTTTGAGTTCCGCTTCAAGCTCCTGCAGTGATGGAGAATATCGCTCTCTTGTAGAACATCCGTGTCTGTCTGTGTGACTGCGGGCGAAGCATCAGGGCGCGCCGCCGTGTTTCTCACAGCAATAGCTTACATTAGCCTCTGAAACCTAACTGTTACCAACCTACAGATAGGGGATTGATCATAATAATCTTCATTTTTTCTTGTTTCTCAGTCCCAAACCTCCTCCTCCCACACCTCTTACCTGCATGCATACACACACAAACACACACGTCTTCATGTCTCTTCCTGCCTGAAACTTTCCTTTTCCTGTCCTACCCACCCGTTCTCAATTCTCATTTGCATTTTCTCACTCCCGTCTGTATCCCTATATACACCACCCCCCTCCGCCTTCCCACACAAACACACCACCCTACATGCACACCTCCTCACACACACCGCCTTCTCTACCCTAGTATTCTCATTCAGGTGGGGTGCAGAGCGCGGCCTTATTAGGAGACAAAGGTTCTTTGTCTTTCAACCTTTGCAAAATGTCAAGAATGTCTGGTTGCCCGCTGAATACCAGGTGGAGAGGGAGGGGGGTCAACAGAGTAAGGAGAGACTATAAACCCCAACAGGAGAGAGGGAGAACGGTGATGATAATTCAGGTCAAGCCACATCTTACTATTGAGCAGTGGCCTTTGGTTTAAGGTGACTGTTTGGCAGTCAGGTGTGGCACATCGGTCTGCTCCGCATGCAGGAGCTCTACTGTATAATGACTGACTTTGACCTTAGGATGGTCACTCTGACCAGCCTCAAGGTAGGTGTGCACTAAACTGTGTGTGTGTGCAAACATCTGCTTTTGGATGAGCTTGCATGTATGTTCAGTTTATGTTCAGCCCAGTCTCCAAAAGAATATGTTGGAATTAAAGATATGTAACAGTGCACATTTCGTGACATTTTTACAGTGACATGGTTCTGACTACATGTGTGTGAGCTGACTTTGTCACTGGGAGGTGGAAAGGACGGTGGAGGTTGTGAAACCGAGGTGAGATGGGGGTTTTTTGTGCAATGTGGCACCAGTACTGGGTGTTTTTATGCAAGACATCACAGCATTTCCAGCCATAATTGTGGCACCAAAACCAGTTGTTTTTAGCGAGACATGACTGCATTTTTAGCTGCGATTGTGGCACCTAAACCAGCTGGTTTTAGGTGAGGCATTGGGTGTTTTTTTTTTTAGCAAGACTAACTCAGCATTTTCAGCTATAATTGAGCCTCCATCACTGCAACATTTCATCCACAACTGCTACTCCAAAATTAGGTGTTTTTATGCAAGACATCACAGCATTTCCAGCCGTGGTTATGGCATCAATCCAAGTGTTTTTTTTGTTAGACATTGGGGCATTTTCAGCTGAGATTGTGGCACCAAAACTAGGCGTTTTTTTTAGCAAGACAATGCAGCATTTCCAGCCATAATTGTGGCTCTAACATTGCAACATTGCCAGCCACAGCTGTTGCACCAAAACCAGGTTGTTTTATGCAAGACATCACAGCATTTCCAGCCATGATTATGGCATTAAAACCAAGTGTTTTTGTGTTTGACATGTTTTCGGAAGAGATCGTGTCACAAAATCCATATCTTTTTGCAAGACATCTTTGCATTTCCAGCCATAATTGTGGCACCAAAACCAGTTGTTTTGTAGCGAGACATAGCTGCATTTTTAGCTGCGATTTCTGGCACCTAAACCAGACGGTTTTTGGTGAGACATTGGGTGTTTTTTTTTAGCAAGAAAAACTCAGCATTTTCAGCTGTAATTGTGCCTCCATCACTGCAACATTTCCAACCACAACTGCTGCTCCAAAACTGGGTGTTTTTTATGCAAGACATCACAGCACTTCCAGCCATGATAATGGCATCAAAATCAAGTTTTATTTTTTGATTGACATTGGGGCATTTTCAGCTGAGATTTTGGCATCAAGGCCATGTTTTCTTGCAAGGCCTCTTAGCATTTTCAGCCATAATTGTGGCACCAAAACCAGCTGTTTTAAAGCCAGACAGTGGGACTTATAGTATGCACGGTGGTTGTGGCGTCAAAACCAGTCTTTTAAACCATGTGATGTTTTCCTGACCATAACTAAGTGGTTTTGTCTTCTAAGCATAACCACACGTTAACCACAGGGTTGTTAAAATGTAAAGAAATGTTAAGTCGCAACATACTCACTATGTACCAAACAAAAGAAAAAACGTGATAGATCTGTGCTTTGCAGAAACATACAATGCCAACACCTACTCTGGCAATTGGATTGGTGTGTTTGATAGACCTCCAACACAACAAAATAACTGCCACATATTTGTAACAGAGACCCTCGTGAACAGTGATTTATGTAGAAAAGTAAATTATGTAAATACAGTATTTATTCACATGGAGGAATGACAATATGGTGATGCCTGTTCAGCATCTATAAACACTATAAATTATAAACTTTTGCCTTCGGAGGTCAAACGACATGATATTCAATTAGTTCTTTTCCCAGCCTGCCCCAGTCTTTACCCACAAGTATAATCTCACAGTTTATAGTAAAGTCTTGCAGGACTTAAAGGTAAACGCATATAAGTCTTAGAAAATAAAGCTGATGTTACAATTGGTGGATACAGATGATTAGGGCTGCTAAATTACAAGAGATTATGTGACTTAAATGGACGACAGTGTATTTATTTGCTGTGGGGAGTTCTGGGAGAAAATGTCTTGGCTTTAAGAATAATGATAGGTTATTTGTTTCATTAATTAGAGAGATGTGTTATAAAGCTATTTGAGAAATCTGCTGGTTTGTTTCAGTTTGTACATTAAAAAGTTGCCCATTATGAAATATTTATATAATTATTATATCAACAACTTGACAGTTTGTTGCGTACCCTAGTGACTTTGGTGTTGTCTGCCTGCACACAGTCTTCCCTCAGGAGCGATGATTAAAATCTTTAGAGTTAATGTGTATTTTGGTTATTTTTTTCGTATGAGTGGCAGCAGGCCTGAGGGGAGATGCTGAACTCATTAGTGTTTACCTGAGTTCAAGGCTGTCTGTCCACCTGGAGGCACAGTTATCCAACACACGTGAACTAATTTACTTACAGGCACGTCTTGGTCACATAGCTCAGGGCACGGACATCTTGTCTCTCCGGTGACAGCTTTATGGGTTGTCATGGTGATGAGTGGCTCGGACAGCAGACCGTTAACGCCGCTGCTAGCATCTGGGCAGGTAGCGACATGCCATGCTGTCCCACACAGTGTTCCCATACTGAATGCTCATTATTTCTAAGCTGCCATTTGACAGCTGTAAAGGCTGCAGAGTGTGGAACACATAGTGAACTATGCTTCCAATAATCATATTGCTGTTAATTATTTAGATTGGCAATCAGCAATCTAATTTTACACGGACAGCTCCCTGAAGACCACAATAATTATTCATACATCAAGCACTGAACTTTGCCCATTTATTAATAACTGCTTTAGGTTAGGGCTGTTTATTTTTAACTGTGATTTCTATAATGCTGATGAGACATTTTGGGCGGTCGAGCTTTGGAGTTTCACGTCCAAAGAGCCAAATATTTCGGCTGATGCATTATATCTATCTGTGCTCCCCGAAGTGGAGCAGGGGACCATTTTTAATATTGCATGAAGCAGCCTTTATAATCAGCAGGCGAGAGGGCCACCTATCCTCACCGCTGCTCGGTGTGTCTGTGTGGATTTCTGGTGGTTCAGGAGACAAGGCAACCTTTAGCTCTCCCCTCTTACATAACTGTCTGTCTGTCAGAAACACACAGTTGGCTGCTGGGGAGGTGCTGTGGTGCACACCAATTCCCCCTGTGTCCTGCTGTACCATCGTTTCATTAGTGGAGCTGAATTATCTCTTCATATATTCCACAAGTTACCTACATATTCATAGTGCAAAGCCACTTAATGAAAGCTTTATTGTGCTTTGTAACTGACAGAATTTACTCTCATGATTGGCCATGTTGTCACAAATGAGCGCAAACTGAGGGGCGATATTTCCCACAATTCTCAAGCCGCCTTGTGAGCGCCTCTTGTCGCATCAATAATTACAGCAAAGAAGACCAGCGCATGTAAACATCACAAACACGTCTCAAAAGACAGTAAGACAATCATCGCCATCCGCAGAGGCAATATTGTTGGCAAAGATCAATCACGTCCCCAAACTCTCTCTCTCTTCGTTCTGCGGTTGGCTCTACGGATCTATGTAAACTGGAGAGCCTTAGTGTCCAATAAGACAGCAAAGCCAGGCTGATATAGGGCTTACTGCAGGTCTCATCCAGTCTGAAACTGACCTGTCTGCCTGTCCCTTCCTGTGTCTGTCTACATCTGCCTCAGAGAGCTAGACATTTATAAAGGTCTCTTATGAAATCAGAAAGTACGAAAACACCTCCAGCCACAACAGCACCAGCGTGCAGACGACAGCGTATGCAGACAAGGCGCATTCTTCATCTACTTCTCTTACTACTGTCATATCAAGCTCCACTGCCTGTCGACTTAAAGAAAACTATGGATCAATCTTGCTGGGAAGCTGTGTGTGTGCATCAACAAGGAGATAAAGAGAGAGGGGCTGACAGCGAGGTGCAAGGTCCAGCTCCCAGAGAACCTATAAATCTCAGCTAAGACAACTTCCCGCTGGCTTGAAGGGTTTGTGGCCCCCTTGCCACCTCTCTCCCCCAACCCTGTATCCTCTCTCTGCCTGTCACCTCATCCTCTAATCCCATATATCAACCCTGTCTCCTAAAAATTATGTTCATACACAACTTATATGTTTGTAGGAAGCATGATGGTGCCTGGATTATGTTCACATCAACATAAAGAGGAAATGTTTATACTGAATGTTCCTACAAAACATTCACTGTCAGCACATTTCTTTTCCCGTGCAATATTTGCTCCTGCAACTAAAGCATGATGGACGTTTTTATTGTTATGTTGGGACAACTCAAAGGAGTGTGAATCCTAGGCTGTCTTTGCTTAATTTCACCCCCTTTATCTACAAGCAACTCAAATAGTGCGTGAGTAGTTGTGCTATATGCGTTCTAGGACAGCTTTTATTTAAGCTTTTGTTTCATGAGATTTAAAATTGTGAGATGGCTTTTTTTGATATTTTACAATAACTAGTGCAGTACCTGCTCGGATCAGGCCAATTGCCTGGCCTACAGTGATGCTGCTTGGTGTTTAGCTGCTTAATGCTTCACATTCTTCACCAGCTAGTTTCTTTTACTAAGATGAAACAACTCTATGCAACAAGGCCTTGAGTAAAAAGCAATAAAATCAACAAATAGTAAAACTCTTGTTTTCCGCTTCTTGTTTTCCCTGTCCTCCCTGCTCGTATCCTCATTTCCCCTCCAGTCACCCATAGCCCCAGGAAATGTCCTGTCCTGTCCTGTCCTGGCTGTGAAGTACTCAAAGAACAGCCAATGCCAGCCACCTGAGACACCCAACACCACAGTTATTATGACAGGCCAGCCAGCCAAGCATCTGTCAACCTGAGCACTGTAGGTATGAAGAGAGTGGAGATGTAGGAGGAGAGAAGGAGGCGAAGTGCAGGAGAAGGAAAATAAAAGTGGAGAAAAAGAAACACAATGGAGACAAGGTTTAAAAAAAGGCATGCGGGCAGAGAGGGGAGAGATGTACACATTATTAGTGAGTAGGTTTTTTACTGTTCACATGTTATCTCAACCTGTGACAGCTCTGGTTACAATTACAACCAGTTTCTAAAGCCCTATGAAGCTGAACCCATCGAGTAATTTTGTTTTATCAACATTTTTACACTAGGGGGCAGTATTTATTGATTCGCTCATTAGCACCATTTAGCAGCTGGTGAAGTCAGCTGCTTGGTAAACATTTTTTATAACAGCCAACTGACAATCAAACAGACTATTAACACAAGATAAACAGGACTCATGTCATGCTAAAATATACAAAGTGCAAATGGCAGCTCCTTGGTGTTAGTGCTTCCAACTGCCAACCTGCAGTGAAACGGAAGAGTCATACAAGGTGTGTGTCAACAGTCATGTCTAATGAATTTGGCCCTTTAAGCCCTGTTTACACTGAGCAGTTCAGTTCGGTGTGCATCTTTTCCGTTACCACTGTGAAAAGTTGTGGACCGTACCAATGGAGCCATTCTGTACCATTCCCATTTTTGGTCACCCCTCTGTTGGGGTACCTAGCACTCAGATCTGGTACTAAAAGGTGGAGCTGTTAACACTGCAGTCTGTCACTCTGCTCAGGGCTGAGTTGTTGCTGGTTTTGTAACCACTGGTCATACTGTGGCAACTATAACAATAAAATGACAGGATGTTTTGCTGCCTCTTGCAGCAGCTGTGGTCTGAGACAGCTGGCAACTTTTAAGGTGGAACTTTTACTTGTAAAGTTACTCAATGCTTTAGTTGAGGACGTGAATCCATCAGCACACCTTGAATTTCAATGTAAACAACTGACCATCACTTTAGTTTTTATTGTCTCTCTTGGATAGAGATGTGCCGATACCACTTTTTCCTTCCCGATACCAGTTCTGATCCCTGAACCTTAGGTATCTGCCTATACCGAGTACTGATCTGATACTAGCTTGTAAAATAAAAATGGATGGGATATGAACTGTTGTATGTCTCAACTCCTAAAACTCTATGTAAAATATTAAGAAATAAATACATAATAGTAGAATGAATGCCATAAAACTTTTTTTTTTATTATTATTATTATCCAGTGTTGACACAGATCAAGACACAGGTTAAAGTGCAGCCACACAATTTGGTAAAAAAGACATTTTAAAGGCTACAGTAGAATGCTTTTTAAACTCTGCTCCGTTTCCGTTGCATATGTGTTATGACGTGAGGCATTACGTGGTATCGGATTAGTCATAGGCTGTACTCGCCGATACCTGATACCGCATTTTAGGCAATATCGGTGACATTTTTGGTATTGGTATCGGTACAACTCTACTCTTGGATGACACAGACTTTTAGTGATGAGTGGATCTTTGAACATTTGAACATCAGATTATGTGAACTGCATATATTCTTATCCTCACTTGGAGAAAAAAAGCATCATGGAGCGTCATTCCTGTGTGCTCCGGCTGGCTGTGCTTGCCTGAGAAGGACTAAATGCACAAACCTGCTACTTTCAAAGATCCCATGGAGAGAGACTCTCACTGCAGCCTGTTTTATTTTGTTCTGAACATGTCAGTGTGCAGCCTCGTTCTGCGGACGATAAATGAGATATAGACGTTCCATCTATGAGGAAATACAGTGAGTGCTGGATGGAGCAGTGAGTGACAACAACCCCGCCCACATTTAAGGGTACTGTTTGCCATGGAAACGCTAAACGGACCTAGGATCTAGGTACCATGTCTGTAGGGTTACTTTTGGCTCCAAAGGTACCATACCCAAAGTGTTTGGTGGAAACGGGGCTTTAGTGTAGGTACTATAGTCACTCCTTGTCTTTGAGGTTATCTAGGTCTCTACATCTCTCTGTCTTCCTCCTTTTGGATGCTCATGATTTGTCACAATTTCTGACAAGACAGCTCAAGGTGTCATGTCAACAACACCTGGATGTTTTGAAAAGACAATCACAAGCTGTCCAGTAAATACTTGCCCCTCAGGCAAAGCGGATGGGAACAGCCAAGTAACAAAAGCTACAACAGCTCACCTGCGTGAATGGCCTACATAAAGAGGTTACAGGTGTCTCAAGTCTATGAGCCTGCTGACCAGCGACCACCCACAAGTTCTCCTTCCACCATCCTCATCTCCTTACATTCCTCTCCCTCCCTGCTTCCTTCATTTCTTCTTTTATTCATTAAATGTACCTTTTGAAAGGGTAGACGTGGAGTAAGAGTGGGTGAGAGAGAAGGAAAGTCTATCTAAAGGTGTGAGACAATATGTATGCAAATGTTCTCACCAAGCAAGTTCACCAGCAGAGCTGAGCCCCAGCATGCCTGCCAAAGGGCGACAGGATGAAGATTCATCATCCAATATCACCTCATCATAAATGATAATGATAAACATGTAAGCCAGGCTGTAACATAGTTATAGACCATCTCTAACCCTGCTACATAAGCAGGGTAGTAAATCAGCAGAGATATCATTGTAATGTTTTAAACAATTAAGGCGTGGAGGACTTGAATAAGATTTGGACGCAGGGTGGTGAATAAAAAATAAGAGTGTTTTGGCATTCAGGAACTGGCATGCTCTCACACCAA